ATTTTACCACTTAATGCTGCCAGGGCATTTAAAGGCAAAGGTCTGGCCATGAATACCTTTGAGACAATATCTTTTTTTTTTATTATTAAGATTTATGTATTTAGGGATCCCTGGGTGGCGCAGCGGTTTAGCGCCTGCCTTTGGGCCAGGGCGTGATCCTGGAGACCCGGGATCGAATCCCACTTCGGGCTCCCAGTGCGTGGAGCCTGCTTCTCCCTCTGCCTGTGTCTCTGCCTCTCTCTCTCTCTGTGTGACTATCATAAATAAATAAAAATTAAAAAAAAGATTTATGTATTTATTTGAGGGGCGGGGGCAGAGGGAAAGGAAATAAGCAGATGCCCCACTGAACAGGAAGCCCAATGCTGTTTGGGGCTCGATTTGGGGATTCGGTGATTCGGTGCTCAGGTTCCATCCCAGGACCTTGAGATGATGAGCTGAGCTGAAGCCAGGAGTCAGACACTCAACCGACTGAACCACTGAGGCACCTGAGATAGTATCTTTTTCTTCTAGCTGGCAGTTGGAATCCAGAGTATAAAATTGTAATTTCTAACTTGCGTGAAGATTTGTTTTAAAATAACTTTGCTAAAAGGGAATAAAAGAATGGATGGTAACTTAATTTGCTAGTCTCCAGCCAAAATTTACTGGCAGTAATTTGTAAGGAGAATAAAGGCAGCACTTAACACCAAATGACTAAACAGAGGATGTTGCAATCCCACCTACAGTAGTGAGTTTATCTTCCTGGAAAAGGGAGTAGATGACCACAGGCCTCCCCCATGGCACAGCTGCCATGTCCCGGGCTGAGCTGGTCTGCATAACATCCTGTCCTGTGCCCTGAATGAACACGGCAGCTCAGGCTTTGCCAGACTGGGCCTGGCTCTTTCTAGCTCTTCATGTTTGGAATTGTTGGGAGATAACCACCTGTCTGATAGGGTTTAGGAAATAGGAGATGAGCTGGGAGAGCAAAGAATAATACAAAATGTAGTCCAAGAATTATCTCATAATCCGTTGCAACTTTTCTGTAAAATTATTCCAAATTTAAAAAGTTCATTTAAGAGGGGCGCCTGGGTGGCTTATTCAGTTAAGCAAGCGTTTGCCTTCAGCTCAGGTCATGATCCCAGGGGCCTGGGATCAGAGCCTCACATTGGGTTCCTAACTCGGTGGAGAGTCCCTTTCTTTCTGCCTCTGCCTCTCCCCCTGCCTGTGCGCACTTGCTCTTTCACTCTCTCTCAAATAAATAAAATATTTTTTTAAAAGTTCATTTAAGAACTATTATTGGGCAGCCGGGGTGGCTCAGCAGTTTAGCGCTGCCTTCAGCCCAGAGCATGATCCTGGAGACCTGGGATCGAGTCCCATGTCAGGCTCCCTGCATGGAGCCTGCGTCTCCCTCTGCCTCTCTCTCTCTCTCTGTGTGTGTGTCTCATGAATTAATAAATTTTTTAAAAAATAAAAAAAAGAGAACTATTATTAGTTTTTGGTCTTTTGCACCAAATTTTCATAGATATTACAAAATGTAAATATGATACTTTCAGGTGAGTCAGTGAGGCAGCTCTGAGGCTCATGACAAAAGAAGCACTGGCCATTGGTCAACATTGTGCTCTTTTGCCCTGATCCTTTCAAAGTCTATAGTAAGTATAGGAGAACCAAACACAAGATTCAGTACAGGGACACCTGGGTGGCTCAGCGGTTGAGCGCTGCCTTTGGCTCAGGGCCTGATCCCGGATTCCCAGGATCGAGTCCCACATCGTGCTCCTTGCATGGAGCCTGCTTCTCTCTCTGCCTGTGTATCTGCCTCTCTTTCTGTGTCTCTCATGAATAAATAAATAAAATCTTAAAAAAAAATTCAGTACAGCTGATTTAGGAATAAAATTGCAAGCGTAACTGTTGAATGATGGGGACGAGTTAGGGAGTGTCATGGATCCAATTAAATTTGCTTGACTTCTGAGTTGCATCTCATTTCTGACACAAGAAATCCAGAGACTTTGGGCACCCTGCCATCCCTGAACTTCAATTTGGCCTTAGAGTGGGGTAACACAAGTACCGGCCTCAGAGAATTGTGAGAATTAAGTAATATATGTAAATTGCTTGGCATAGGACCTTCCATAGGAATTGTTAGAGGGCCTTGGTGGGGGACTTCGGCAATAATGGAGATTACTACTACAGTTTCCAACATTGATGGAAGAACTACTTCACTATAGATCTTGTCCCTACTGTCCATAAAATAAAGTTCATATTCCTTAGCATGACTTTTTTCCTAAGGATTTTATTTACTTATTTAATTGAGAGAGAGACAAAGCACAAGCAGGGGGAGGGGCAGAGGGAGCCAGAGAGGCAGGCTCCCCACTGAGCAGGGAACCCATACAGGTGAGCCACCCAAGCACCTGTCCTTAGTATGACCTCTAAAGCCAGTTTTATTTTTTTATTTTTTAAAAAGATTTTTGCTTATTTATTCATGAAAGACAGAGAGAGAGGCAGAGACACAGGCAGAGGGAGAAGCAGGCTCCAGGCAAGGAGCCCGATGTGGGACTGGATCCTGAGGCCACGGGATCATGCCCTGGGCCAGGGGCAGGTGCTCAACCGCTGAGCCACCCAGGGATCCCCTAAAGCCAGTTTTACTTTATGTGAGCAGCTCAATGTCCTGCAGTCATTGTTCCTGCCCCCTGAACGACATCTGCAGTGAACTTTCCAGAGCTGCCCCTATTTTTTCTGCCTCAGAGTCACTCCCTGTGGATCATTCTTCCAGATCTTGCTTAAATGCCCCTCCTCTGGGAAGCCATTTCCAACTCTCCCATCCTACCCGTCCGTGTACCTCAGAAGTACACCCTCCCGACTACAACTCATCTCCTTGTACTGCTGTTGCTTGTTTACCTACCCGGCACCTTTGCAAGGGGTGAGGATCAGAAAGATCAGAAATGACTACTTCTTAAAAAAAAAAAAAAGAAAGAAATGACTACTTCTTAATTTTCCATCAGACAGAACTTTGTAGTTCTAGTACAAATGCTCCCCACTCTACTTTTGATGTGCTGGATTTTTGCTCAATGAGAAAATGCTCATATTCATATCCTTTTGAATATTTGCAGAGGCTGAAGAAAAATACCCTAGCCGTGTATGGATAACCTCAGTACAGTCAGCAGGTTGAAGAAAATTAGACCACCAGTTGTGTGACTGTCTCATCTCTTGACTTGTCCTCTCAGCTATCTCCAAGTCTGAATCTCCTAAAGAACAAATTTTCAGGGAACACTGGGTTACAAAAAAGCAGGGGACAGCATTCACTCAAAGATCTTGTATCAATGCCATACTCAGCAGTGAGCAGTTAACATCCCTTTTGGGAAACCTCAATAATTTTCAACTTATAAACTTTTTTTTTAAAGATGTTATTTATTTATTGAGTGGGGGGGGCAGAATGAGTAGGAGAGAATCTCAAGCAGACTCCCCATTGAGCTGAGAGCCCATCCCACAACCCTGAGATCATAACCTGAGCCAAAAGCAAGAGTCTGGTGCCTAACCAACTGAGCCACCAAGATGCCCCTCAACTTACAAACATTTTAAGACCTTTCTGCATTAGACTTGAGTGGTGTTACCAATGTTTTTGTAAATATTTACTGTGTTTTTTACTTCTAACAATTTTGTGCTTTAATAAAGTGTTCTAAACATTACATAAAAATAGAAATCACCACTTCTTTTTTTTAAGAATTTATTTATTGTTTCTAATGGCTGAGTAATATTCCATTGTATACATAGACCACATCTTCTTTATCCATTCATCTTTCAATGGACACCAAGGGATAAATGGATAAGGAAGATGTGGTCTATGTATACAGTGGAATATTCCTCAGCCATTAGAAATGACAAATACCCACTATTTGCTTCGATGTGGATGGAACTGGAGGGTATTATGCTGAGTGAAATAAGTCAATCGGAGAAGGACAAACATTATATGGTCTCATTCATTTGGGGAATATAAAAAATAGTGAAAGGGAATAAAGGGGAAAGGAAAGAAAATGAGTGAAAATATCAGTGAGGGAGACAGAACATGAAAGACTCCTAACTCTGGGAAACGAACAAGGGGTAGTGGAAGGGGAGGTGGGTGGAGGGTTGGGGTGACTGGGTGATGGGCACTAAGGGGGGGCACTTGGCGGGATGAGCACTGGGTGTTATGCTATATGTTGGCAAATTTACCTCCAATTTAAAAAAAAATAATTTATTCATGAGAGACACACAGAGAGAGGCAGAGACATAGGCAGAGGGAGAGGCAGGGGTCCCTGCAGGGAGCCTGATGCAGGACTCAATTCCAGGACTCCAGGATCATGACCTGAGCCAAAGGCAGATGCTCAACCACTGAGCCACCCTGGCATCCCAAGGTCAGCACTTCTTTCTCTTTGTATGTTCTTGGTACTTGACACATAATTGGTACCCAACAGAAATGATGAATTTAATGAACAAATATGAGTAGGAATACTGGGGAAATTAAAAAATGTTTTGGAAGAGGGGAGCCTGGGTGGCTCAGTCAGTTAAACATCCAACTCTTTATCTCAGCCCAAGTCTTGATCTCAGGGTAGTGAGTTCAAGCCCTGCATTGGAGCCTACTAAAAACAAACAAAAACTTTTGGAGGATAACTAATGAAAATTTATGTTTAGTTATTTCATTATTTTATTTTATTTTATTTTTAAAGATTTCATTTATTCATGAGAAACACAGAGAGAGAGAGAGAGATAGAGAGAGAGAGGCGCAGAGACATAGGCAGAGGGAGAAGCAGGCTCCACTCAGGGAGCCCGACGCGGGACTCGATTCTGGGTCTCCAGGATCAGGCCCTGGGCCGAAGGCAGATGCTCAAACGCTGAGCCACCCAGGGATCCCTAGTTATTTCATTAAACCTCATTTAGCTCATTTGAGCGAAAAACAGTATTGTTATTTATTTACTTCTAGTTCCTCTATAGAGCACATCTAATATTATTCTTTGAGATATTTGACCTTAGCTTTTTATTGTTCTTTCACCCTTCAGGTTCTAATTACAGGCACCTCTTGACATAACTTTTTTACTATCTGGAAAAACACTGGCCAGGAAAAAAAAATGATAAAATTTTTTCTAATGGTGAATAAACAAGGACAGACCCGACTTTCTAAATACTATGAACATGTGGAGATTAATAAGCGTACACTTCTTGAAACGGAAGTCATAAAGAGCTGTCTCTCTCGATCCAGTGAACAAGTAAGTTTCTGGTTCTGTCTTTTATCTCTGCGTTCAACTTGGCAATGGCAGATTTGTTATTACTGAGTCTCAAGGGTCATCATTTTCTTCAAACTACATTCTTTTCAACAGCTACTAGGGAAAATAACAAATGGAGTGAAATGAAGACTGAAGCATAGCTCTCTTTATGTCGCCTTAAGGAAAATACAAATAAGGAAAACCAGGAAAAGTCTTGAGTTCTTATTTAGGTCAGCAGATTTGTCTCAAATTTATTCCAACTCATAGGCATATCTCCTTTTTTTGTCTGTATGAATGCAGCCCTCAACTCTTAGGAGTGCTTCCAGCAGGTGGCTTTCTCTAAGCCAAGAGATAAAGGTCAGATGATTGGTTTATAGGTGAGCACTTGAGACCCGCTTTATGCCAGAGGATAATAGTGTGATTCTCACGTAGAGCATAATTTTTTCCTGCTTATCATTTTTGTGAACTTAACACCAATGTAATACGAGAACTAGTGATTTAAAAAACAAAGCAAATTTGAACTTGTCTTTTATTATGTAGATGGAGTAAGTGGAAGTTAAAAATTCCTACAAAACAACAAATCTATCCATTTTGTCAAAATAGAGGTTAGATACAAGTAGGAATTTTAGGAACTGGACCTATTTTTACAAAGAAGTTTAATTGGAGAATTACTTAATCGGGGTCCTAAACTTTGAGTTCACTGGAAATCACTGAACAAATTGCAGCAAAAGCAGAAAGCTTGTTTAAACCACCCATTAATTTTGCCGGGTCTCCATTTCACAGCATATGTAGAAAGGCTGCCTGCGGGCACCACTGCTAGGTCTTAAAATATTAAAGTACATCAGTGCTCAGAAGTTACACGTTGGAACTGTGTTTCCCTTGGCTTCTAAATTGATTTTCCAGCGTCCACATCTCAGAGTCCTCTTTGAATTACTACTTTGGCCTGCCACGGCACACACTGCTTGCTTCATGCAGTTGTCAGAGGGAAACAGGAATGGTTAAAGGGCTGGGTGAAGAGCCTCATACTTGAAGTAAAGATAAACTCCAGAAGCAATTCTGTTGAATCTCTCTGCAGAATACAGGCACTGCACAGTTTCAAACACCATCTTCACTGATACATTACCTTTTGAAATAAATGCCTTGGAATGATATTTTTGAAGCATCCTGAATTATTTTAGATTTTAAAAGGAACCCACTGGGCTTTGGGATAATTAGGCACTGAAGTAACACAATTGCAGCTTAGTTTTTATTGTATCCACAAAGGTGCTTTGGTACTTTTTTTTTTTTTTTTTTTTTTTTTTAATGTCAGAAACTCCCAAGAGGCTTTGAAAAATGTTCTTTCAAATAGGTTGTGTTTCCTTGAAAGATCCAACTGAGCAGAAATCACACTGGCTCTACAGTGAGCCAAAAGCAACAGAATGCCTGCACTTCTTACTTTTATCCTAATTTCAAATAAGAGCCTCAAATTCCTGCATTTTATAGGTTGTCAAGTGGTTTTCCCATGGAAAAAATTTCATGATTAAAACTAACAGCTTGGGGATCCCTGGGTGGCGCAGCGATTTAGTGCCTGCCTTTGGCCCAGGGCGCGATCCTGGAGACCCGGGATCGAATCCCATGTCGGGCTCCCGGTGCATGGAGCCTGCTTCTCCCTCTGCCTATGTCTCTGCCTCTCTCTCTCTGTGACTATCATAAATAAATAAAAATTAAAAAATAAAAATAAAAAAAATAAAACTAACAGCTTAATCTCCAGGAGCTTCTGGGCACCCAAGAGCAATCATGCCAGTGCAAACAGCCACACAGTTCATGCGTAATCACATTTGGCCAAGCACACCCAAAAATCCAAAGGAAGGGCAGCACTGTGCCGTTAGCCTGCTATCCAATTCCCATCTGCCCAGGGCCATCCCAAAACCCTTTGTACAATGGCTGAGAGAGATGAATTGGAAGGGAGTTGTTTTATCCACAAGTCAGTGGTGGTAACTTGTTATTAATTCATAGGAAGCAATGTTTACAATGGGAGATTTTCTCTAGCATCTGCCCCACAAAAGCCAAAACTTTAAATAATTTATAGAAGAGTCTACATTTATTCTTTTCATCAGTCTAAGAAAAAGAAATCAGGATTCTTTTTGCATGTGTGTATGCTGTGTATATTTGGTTGTTTGGTGGCTATTAAATAATACAAAATGAAATCTCTAATTGCTTCCAAAAGAGCCTATGGGAGATGAAAAGAAGAAAACCTTCTCTGTCACGTTGGCTTATTTTAATGTTGAGGCAGTTTAAAATGCTGATTATTTAGTACCTTTGCCTGCTGCTTTCTACACAGAGTGAAGCAAAGGAATGAGAAGGAGTAAGGTGGGAACCCATGTGGCTGCTCCAAGCGTTTTTTCCTGGACCCCCCTCTGCCTCCCACTAGAGATGCTTCCAAGTAGTCCCCTGAATATTGTGAAGAAGCCACCAACAGGCAACCGACAAAGATTGTGTAACATTTTAATACTGTATATTTCTAGGAATATGTTGACCCATACTGAAATCAGAACCTAGAAATTATGCAGGCCTTTTTGAAGAGATCCTTGGAACCATAGGAATTAATGTCTTTTTTTTTTTTTCTAGTGCTCTTTCATTGAGTTTAAGGATTTCAAGCTGATATATCGACAGTATGCAGCTCTCTTCATTGTGGTTGGAGTTAATGACACAGAGGTGAGATAATAGAGGAGCCTATGGAAAATGCAAGAAAATTAGGAATGACAGACTGATTTTTACTCCCCTTAAATTGTCATTTCCTACTCACCTAAGAGTTCTCTTGCTTGACTCTTGGAGGTCTTGGTTTCTATCAAGGCTAGGGAAAGCTATGTGGAAGAAAAATACCTAGGATTATTCCTGGATTGGAGGAGCAGCCTGTGGGGAAGCATAAAACTCCAGAATGCTTTTCCCAACCCTAGGCAACACCAGTGTCTTGCCCTTGTTCTGTGTGGCACAGTGGGGCAGCTTAGACAGGTAGAGGCCAATCAACTGTAGCATTAAATATAAGCTGACATATCAGAAACCTGAGCAAACTGTAACAATGATTGTGTTGTGACTGAATTTCCTCAGATTCAGTCTACCTTTCTAGAAGCGTCAGTCTCAAGTCAACAGAACCTATGGCTCTGGAATCCCTGCAAAGGCGTTTAAGATTTAAGATACTTCAGAATTTCAGTTGGTTGTTTTTTATCTGTGAACCAGATTTTAAGGTAGTTTCCCATCTTCACAAATGGAGAAGTGGTGGCATGACAAACGTGAAATGTTGTTTCAGCCAGTTGATGACAAAGTCAGGGAGTAGACCTCAAAACCCAATCTGGTTTCAGTCCCACTAAATTCATTAGGGACTTAAAATCTTAAGGTTAAGTCTTTCACTGTTCCTTCTGTTCATAAGCTTCTTTCAAACAAGTGAGTCGTAGAACTACTCTGAATATTTGTCAGTGTCTAATTTACACATGGGCCATACTAAAACTAATTGTACCTTTTCTTGTTTATTTCAGAATGAGATGGCAATTTATGAATTTATCCATAACTTTGTGGAAGTGTTAGATGAGTACTTCAGCCGAGTGGTAAGTCTAATGGCTAAAAAATGGTTTTTGCCCACCGCCCAACTTCCCAGAAATGGGTCTATATGAAGAACCTGTGTTAGTATAGAGTTTTAATATGTAAAAGTTAAAACCCAGATGATGCCACATTTTCTTTACCTTTCCTTCTGGCTTATCCAAAGCGCTACAAAACCTATGTGTGCCTTATGTTCTTCTTTATAAAGAACCAGTTCTACAAGATTAAGAACTGCTTATGTCTTTCTTTTAATTAAGAGACTTTGGGGCACCTGGGTGGCTCAGTGGTTGAGTGTCTGCCTTCAGCCCAGGGCGTAATCCTGGGGTCCTGGGATCAAATCCCACATTGGGCTCCCTGCATGAAGCCTGCTTTTCCCTCTGCCTATGTCCCTACCTCTCTGTGTCTCTCATGAATAAATAAATAAAATCTTAAAAAAATAATAATAATTAAGAGACTTTGCTATTTAACTTACTCTCTGTCTCTTTTCTCTTTCTTTTTTTTTTTTTTTTTCTGTTTCCCTTCCTAAGGCACTAGGAACCTTTTTAGTTTAGGAATCATTTCCGTCCAAATCTTTGCTTTAATGATCAAAACCAACTCCCCTTAAGGAATACATGAGTTCCTTTCCAGCAGCCCCCCTTTTAAAGATTTTATTCATTTATCTGAGAGAGTGTGTGTAAGTGTGTGTGTGTGTGTGTGTGTGTGTGTGTGCATGTGAGAGTGGGGAGAGGGGCAGAGGAGGAGGGAGAGAATCTCAAGCAGACTTCCCCCTGAAAGCAGAGCCTGACATGGGGCTCAGTCTCACCACCCTGAGATCATGACCTGAGCTGGAACCAAGAATCGGATGCTTAGCTGACTGAGCCACCCAGGTGCCTCCCTGTTTTGTCTTTAAAAGACAAAACAAAAAAACCCAGAATTTTGAAATATGATTTACATGCCCGATACTCACGCATTTAATGTATATTAGGTTTTAGTACTTCCACAGAGTTGTGCAACCATCAGCACAATTTTAGGATATTTCATACCCCCAACAAACACCATAGCTATTAGCATTTCCCTCCCAGCAATCCCCCTCCCTGGCTCCAGGCCCTAGGTAATCGCCAATCTACTTTTTGTCTCTATGGGTTCGCCTATACTAGACAGTTTTATTTATATAGAATTGTACAACATGTGGTCTTTTGTGGCTTTTTTTTTTTACTTAGCATATGTTTTCAAGATTCATGTGTCACATGATTCATGTATCACATGTTATAGCATGTGATGTGTCAGTACTTTCCTTTTTATTGCCAAATAATATTCTGCTATATGGATATGCCACATATTGTTTATCCAGCTAATAGTTGATGGACATTTGGGGGTTAATAGTACTTTTGCCTATTATGAGTAATGCAGCTTTGAACATTTGTGTAAACATTTTTGCGTAGCATCATATTTTCAGTTTTTTTGGGTATAATATACCTAGGAGTAGAATTGCTAGGTGATGTGGTAACTCCACGTTTAACATTTTGATGCACTTTGTTTTCCAAAGTGGCTGCATGATTTAAATTCTCATCCACAGTGTCTGAGAGTTCTAATTTCTTCGTGGTCTCGGCAAAACTTTTTATTATCTGTGTTTCTGATTATAGCCATCCTGGTGGGGATGAAGTGGTATAGAGGCCAATAAATTGTGGTTTTGAGGGATGCCTGGGTAGCTCAGTGTTTGTGTCTCTCTCATGAATGAATAAATAAAATCTTTAGTGTGATTTTTTTTAATTTTTTATGATAGTCACAGAGAGAGAGAGAGAGAGAGGCAGAGACACAGGCAGAGGGAGAAGCAGGCTCCATGCACCGGGAGCCCAACGTAGGATTCGATCCCGGGTCTCCAGGATCACGCTCTGGGCCAAAGGCAGGCGCCAAACTGCTGTGCCACCCAGGGATCCCTAAATAAAATCTTTAAAAAAATATATGGTTTTGATTTGCATTTCACTAATGCACAGCAAATATTGAGCATTTTTCATGTGTTTATTGGCCATTTTTATATCTTCTTTGGAGAAATGTCTGTTTAAATCCTTTGTCCATTTTTCGGTTGAATTATTTGTCTTTTTATTGTTGAGCTGTAAGAGTTCTTTATATATTTTGAATACAGATCTCTTTGAATTGATTGAATAGAAAAATCTTTGAACTAATTGAATACAAATACAAATATTGATAGGTATTTGGTGGAAGAAATTTTCTTTTTTTTTTTTTTGGTAGTGTTCTGTGAATTACAAGAGTTTTTGATTTTGATAAAGTTCAATTAATTTATTTTTCCTTTTTTGCTTATGTTTTTGGTGTCATGTCTAAAAAGGCTTTGCCCAACCTAAGATCATGAAGATTTACTCCAGTGTTTTCTTCTTCTTTTTTTTTTTTTTTAAAGATTTTATTTATTCATGAGAGACACAGAGAGAGGCAGAGACATAAGCAGATGGAGAAGCAGGCTCCATGCAGGGAGCCCAATGCAGGACTCGATCCCAGGATCCCGGGATCATTACCTGAGCTAAAGGCAGATGCTCAACCGCTGAGCCACCCAGGAATCCCAAGTGTTTTTTTCTTTTAGTTCCTACATTTAGTTCTTTGTTCCATTTTGAGTAATTTTTATATATGGTGTGAGGTAGGGGTCTAACTTCATTCTTTTGTATGTAGATATCCAATTTTCCCAACACCACTCTGGGAAACGAACTAGAGGTTGTGGAAGGGGAGGAGGGCAGGGGGTGGGGGTGACTGGGTGATGGGCACTGAGGGGAGCACTTGACGGGATGAGCACTGGGTGTTATTCTGTATGTTGGCAAATTGAACACCAATAAAAAATAAATTTATTATTAAAAAAAGTTTAAAAAAATAAATAAAAAATAAAAAAATAAAAAATAAATTTAAAAAAAAGTTACATCTTGGGACGCCTGGGTGGCTCAGTGGTCGAGCATTTGCCTTGGGCTTGGGTCATGATCCCAGAGTCCTAGGATCGAGTCCCACATCACGCTCTCCTGCAGGGAGCCTGCTTCTCCCTCTTGCCTGTGTCTCTGCCTCTCTGTGTGTGTCTCTCATGAAAAAATAAATAAAATCTTAAAAAAAAAGAATTTATATCTTCAGGGGTGCCCGAGTGGCTCAGTTGGTTAAATGTCTGCCTTTGGCTCAGGTCAGGATCCCGGGGTCCTGAGATGGAGCCCTGCATTATACTCTCTGCTCAGTGGGGAGCCTGCTTCTCCCTCTCCCTCTGCTGCTCCCCCTGTGTGTGCTCTCTCTCTCTCTCTCTGTTAAATAGATAAATAAAATCTTAAAAAAAAAGTTATATCTTCAGTCTACCTCCTAATACCTGAGGTAAAGTTTGGCAAGCTGCTTCTGCATGGGACAGTCAACTATCCTGTTTTCATTGCTTTAGTGCAGTGGTTCTCAAAGTACGGTTCCTGGACCAGCAACATAAACATCACTTGGGAACTTGTTTAAAAAACAAACTGTGGGCCCACCCCAGAATATCGAATCAGAAACTCCGAATTGAGGTTCAGCAATCTGTGTTTCAACAAGCCTTTTGGATGATTCTGATGCATGCTTAGATTTGAGACCCACTGACTTAATGCATAAGGAAAGCTGGAAAGCTGCCTGTGGCCTGTGAGATGGTTGTGCATCTAGCTAGGAGGAGTTAGTGCTGCTGAAGCTGGAAGAGGGAAAAAGGTCAGGCCATTCCAGAGACTGTCCATGAGGGGGTCCATGAGGGGGTGGGGGACATTAAGGCTGGCTTTTTTTTTTTTAAGATTTTATTTTATTTATTTATTCATGACAGAAACACACACACACACAGAGAGAGAGAGAGAGAGAGAGAGAGAGGCAGAGACACAGGCAGAGGGAGAAGCAGGCTCCACTCAGGGAGCCCGATGCGGAACTTGATCCAGGGTCTTCAGGATCACACCCCTGGCCGCAGGTGGCGCTAAACCACTGCGCCACCGGGGCTACCCTAAGGCTGGCTTTTTTTTTTTTTTTTAATTTTTATTTATTTATGATAGTCACAGAGAGAGAGAGAGAGAGAGAGAGAGAGAGAGAGAGGCAGAGACACAGGCAGAGGGAGAAGCAGGCTCCATGCACCGGGAGCCCGACGTGGGATTCGATCCCGGGTCCCCAGGATCGCGCCCTGGGCCAAAGGCAGGCGCCAAAACCACTGTGCCACCCAGGGATCCCCAAGTCTGGCTTTTTTTTTTTAATTTTTATTTATTTATGATAGTCACATAGAATGAGAGAGAGGGAGAGAGGCAGAGACACAGGCAGAGGGAGAAGCAGGCTCCATGCACCGGGAGCCCGAAATGGGATTCGATCCCGGGTCTCCAGGATCGCGCCCTGGGCCAAAGGCAGGCGCCAAACCGCTGCGCCACCCAGGGATCCCCTTTTTTAATTTTTTTTAAAATTTTTATTTATTTTTTAATTTTTTTTTAAATTTTTATTTATCCCAAGAATGGCTTTAAAGTCCATCTTTCTACCGACTGCTGGAGAGAGTGCCACAACTGAGCACTGTCTGATAGAACTTTCAGCCACTGAAGAAATGTACTATACCTGTGCTATCCAGTACAGTAGGCACCAGCCACATGTGGCTTTTCAAAATTTGAAATGTGATTAGTGTAAAGGAGGAAATGAGGAATTTAATTTTAATTCATTTGATTTGCCATATGATGCTGGTGGTTACCATACTGGACAGGACAGCTCTGGCTCCTGCCTAAACACAGTAACCACTCCCTTAAGACAGACTGGTTTGCTGGTTTGCAAGTCAGGGTTTGTGACTCAGAGCTGACCATGATTAGCCATTTTAAGGGAATACCTATCAAGAAGAATAACATTTCCCCAAAAAGTAATATTTTAAACCTGGGATAATCATGAGTGAGTCCAAGCAGTATCATTGCTAAGGTTTTTAAAATTACCATTATTATATTCGGTGACCGAGAATAAATAGCATGTTGCTGAATTCTTGCTGTAGTCCTGGGGAGAGAGTCAGTGACCACATAAACCACAGAAGTAAAGATTAGAATTTAATTTAAACTGGTGACTACACAGGACTCCAGAAGTACTGTGAGATGGCTCAGTTTAGGATGACAGTAGCAAAAAGAAGAGAAAAGAGGAGGGAAGACAGTACTATGGGAAAGAAAATAGAATCTGTCCCACTCAGAGAATGCCTTGTCATCTAAGATTTATTTTTAGGTTTGTGAGTTTTAAACATTCTTTCTGAGACTATTTTAATCTTAGTTTCCAAATCTTAAATTTGGAGATGAGTCTCATGCTGTCTGGGCTGAAAGAAGCATCTCAGCATCATATTTCAAAACAAAAAGACAACCCAGTTAGCTTCCATGGAGGCAGTTTTGCAGGAGAGGATGGTGGGGTCAGGGTTGTCACTGCTTCACTGGACAAACCTTAAGTCCTTTCAGATATGAATTTAACTGTTTACTTTTTTCTCCATGATTTTTTTATGATACAAACATCTAAGATCGTTGAAAAAAATTAGAAACACATATAAGCAAAAAGAAAGGGGAGAAGATCATGAGTAAGCCCATGACTTACTGATACATATTATTGGGTACATTTCCTTTTAGATATTGTCAGTATCTAATTGTGTCTTTATCTTTATGTGTACATATATCCATGGGATAATACTGTAGATACCCTGCTATAACTTGCTTTTTTATTTAATGGTGTTAATACTTAGAGATTTATACCCTCATTTGTGGATCTGCTATAATTTATTTAACTAGTGCCCCTTTCATAGATACTCAGCTTGTTTTCAGTAATTTGCTACCATAAACAGCATTACCGTGAACATCCCACCACACAGTGTTGTGCTGTTATCTAATTATTTCTTTTGGTTAAACTTCTAGAAGTAAAATTGATGGATTCAGAGGGCGTGCATAATATTAAGGTTTTTGATAAACATACCAAATTAGCTATCATCCGTAAAGGTTGAGTTGGTCTATTCCCTCTATGTTCAGCGGATGAATTTTTCTGGTTGGCAAAATTCCTCCAAACTGCCATTTTATAAAAAAGCACAGTCAAAGGGCACCCGGGTGGTGCAGGGACCCTTGGTTTAACTCAGGTCCTGATCTCAAGGTCATGAGATGGAGCCCCAAGTCAGGCTCTACGCTCAGGGCTTGCTCTTTCTCTGCCCCGCCCCCAACTCGTGCGCATTCGCGCCCTCTCTAGCTCTCAAATAGATAAATCTTTAAAAATAAATAAACAAAAAGCACAATCCCGGACTCAAGGCCTTCCTGCGCCCAGACTTCTGTGACGTACAGAGCTGCTTCCCTGACCTGCTCCGAGGCTGGTGGCCAGAGCAGCTGCAAACTGCTAGGCGCCTGCGTCCCAGTGTCTCATTCTCATCCTTGTACTTTTTTCTCTTTTCCAGAGTGAATTAGATGTATCCTTTTTCAAAGCTGTGAGCCAAGTTTTCCTCAGTAGGCAAAGCACAGGCTAGTCCTGATCAGGTAAGTGCCATGGGGGCAGGAAAAGGATTCAGCAGAAACCAGAATCCAGAATGCTAATCATCCATCAACAAGTAACAAAATAGAGGTGCAAAAGCTTTGCAGAAACACCTTTGCTCTTTTTTTACAAAATAATTCTTTTTTTTTTTTTTTTAAGATTTTGTATTTATTTATTCATGAGAGACACAGAGAGAGGCGCAGAGACACAGGCAGAGGGAGAAGCAGGCTCCATGCAGGGAGCCCAATGCGGGACTTGATCCTAGGACTCCAGGATCACGCCCTGGGCGGAAGGGAGGCGCTCAACCTCTGAGCCACCCAGGCGTCCCAAAGATTCTTATTGGGACTATTGGGACTTAATTCTTATTAAGACTGTTATATTTTTCAGACAGGGCAAAACTATGGTCATAGTTGATAATTACTGGTATAATAATGTAACTTCTTTAACCTTTACAGAATTTAAATAATGCAGCCAGAAAGTGCTTAGTCCTCCTGGAGAGAATGGATTTTCATGGCTCCAAGTATAAATCTCCAGAAATCCCTTACATGATCAGATTAAGGCCTTCAAGGATGATAAACTGGAGGGTTAAAGAATTGCCTGACTTGTATTCATTTACTTTTATAATAGAGAAAGCTCTCTTTTTCTTCTCTTTCTAGTCCTTTTTATCAAATTATGCAAGGGCCCCCAAACAGTAGTTGCTCCAAATACTGTAGGCCTGTGGATTTTGACAGGGGCTCACTAGGCTTTGTGTGAGTGCTCTGGAGGCAAGTTGACCTTTTTTTTTTTTTTTAAGATTTTATTTGTTCATTTGAGAGAGGGAAAACATGAGCAGGAAGGACAGGAAAGGAAGAAGCAGGATCCCCACTGAGCAGGGAGCCAATGTGGGGCTCGATCCCAGGACCCCAGGACCATGACCTGAGCTGAAAGCACATGCTTAACTATCTGAGCCACCCAGGCGCCCCACAAGTTGACTTTTAAGTTAATTTTTACTTCAGAAATCTGCTTACCACTTGTAAGCAATTAATGAGAGAGTTCTTTGCGAAAAGCATCAGGCTTAAATCTAAAATAGTAACATTAAATATAACATGTTAATTATAACATGTTTCTATATACATATATATACATTAGACATCAGTATATTTGGGAGAAATGGCCATTTAGCTTTTACTACTGATAGAAAATATGTTGATCAACTCCATTTGCAGCTGTATCCAGAAGCCTCTTAAATTAACTGGGAAAATCTGAGTGCCCTCTAGTGGTGAGTGACCTAAATCTATAGGATTCCTTTGACCTAGGACACCCAAGATCAGGCTGTACGTTAAGGTATATTTTTACTCAGCACCTTACGTTCCATTTAAACTAAGTCCTTTATAAAGCAATTCAAAATAAATCTCTTCCTCCTGTACAGGGGAATAAGAGAAATGCCTTTTGATTTAAAAAGTCATCAGAGGGACGCGCCTGGGTGGCTCAGCGGTTGAGCATCTGCCTTCAGCTCAGATCGTGATCCTGGCCCGGGATCAAGTCCCACGTCAGGCTCCGTGCGTGGAGCCTGCTTCTCCCTCTGCCTGTGTCTCCGCCTCTCTCTCTGTGTCTCATGAATAAATAAATAAAATATTTAAGGAATAAAAAAATAAAAGTAGTCATCGGGAAGATAGGAAAAGCTATTAGACCCCTCCCTAGGAATATAGAAACCCAAGTTTCTCTTTTGAACCTGCCACAAACTGTATGTATTGGGAAAGGCACATCAACCTTTCATCTCAAAATAGTAGAATTAGGCTAGAAGAGCTTAAACATCCTCTCAGCCTTAATAGTTGATGTTGCCATGACTCTAGGTAAATGAGCTGAGCTACCTTTCACCCAGAACAGGAAGAGAGACTGTAACTAGTCTGGAAATTCAGAGAATTAAAATGAATCAAATATAACAGGGTATATATTATATAAGCTGAACTAGTTGCATTGATGAGTCTTATATATTGAATAGATGTTTATTAGAAGTAGAGACGGGTTGTCTTTATAGTTCTCTGGTATAGTGTAGTTCCAGGTAATGATCTCCAGCATTCTCTTTCTCTTCTCTTTTTTAAGATTTTATTTTTAAGCAAATCTCCACACCCAACATGGGGCTCAAACTCACAACCCCAAGATCAAGAGCCCCATGCTCTTCCCACTGAGCCAGCCAGGTGCCCCGAGTTCCAGCATTCTTGTTCAAATTTAATTTCCACACCAAGGCACACAGTTTGCTATCTTTTCTCTTTATTTTACTTAGTTTCATTTTTGCCTTCCCTTCCCTTTTTTTAGGGGGAGGTTTCCAAGTTTTATTCAAGAACTCATGCAAAATATTTGGGATAAATGGGTTTTAATCCTCATCTTCCTCCTCTTCTGTGTCCTGGTTAGTTTGGAAGTAACGCAACTCGTAACTCCCATTGCTGTTAGCAACTACGCGCAACCAGTCATGGAGGTTATTCCTCAAATATTTTTTGGTGAGATATTTCAAATACCCTTTTTTTTTAAAGATTTTATTTATTCATTCATGAGAGACACACACAGAGAGGCAGAGACACACAGGCAGAGGGAGAAGCAGGCTCCACGCAGGGAGCCTTACATGGGAGTCAATCCCAGGTCTCCAGGACCAGGCCCTGGGCTGAAGGCGGTGCTAAACCGCTGAGCCACCTGGGCTGCCCTCAAATACCTTTTGGAAAAAGGCACCTCAGAAGTTACAGGATTCTTGCTCTTGCTGCTTTCTATGGTTACAACCGCTCTACTGAGATTCCCAGCTTTTCCATTCACTTTGATTCTCTCTTGAAGAAACTGCTCAAAATTGGCAGCATCCATGATTCCATCTTCTATAGGGTGGGTGCAATCAAGGGTAAACTTCAGAACTTGCTTCTTCTTTTTTTTTTTTTTTTTTTGCCCCCTTTGCCACAAGCTTTTTCACAGGTGCCATGGTGGCAGCGGAGGCAGAAAGGAAACTTACTATTTTTTTTAATCAAAGTACGAATAACATATAATGTTAGTTTCAGACATACCTCTGGCTAGTTTTATATATTTAGCCCTTCAGAATGACAGGTGTATCCACCTGACAGATTAGGAATTTTGCTTCATCTTTAGAGAAGGGAACTGAATCTGTCCAGACCTGGAAGTGTATGCCTCTGCTCCAGGCATAATTTCACCTGGACTTCCAGTGGCCTAAAAGTGGAAAAGATGGTGGATAGAATATGGGATACCTCTCTCCTATTAACATTTTCAAAGGGTTTCTACCCTTAGCCATCTGAAAAAAAAAATCAAATTAAAACCCATGCATTAACTCTGCCTCGTACATAGTTCTTTCTAACTAGAAGGACCTCTAGGCACCAATTTCATAACAGTAAGACAAGGGAGCCTTTTAGAGGTGCAGCCTATGTCCTGCCCCCTTGGTGTAGGCCAGAGGTCTTCTCCATCACTGCCCTAGGAGCATATGACCAGCAACCTGCTGAAGCAGCTACCATGGTTCGGGTCTGCTCTGCCAGGAAAGCTTCTTCAGGCCTTGAAAGCCTGCAAACAAGCAACCAATAGAATTGCAACCTGGAGCTTGTTCTCCCAACACTCACAACACCTATCTTTGTGTTTGCTCAGGCTTAAGAAAGCCTTCTTTGTCCACCCACATGGAATAGAGGTGCTTCAAAGCTTGGTTTTGGTGCAGCACCAGGAGGATGGAAGTCAAAACCTCATGGAATTCCCAAGAAGCCTTTGACTTGCAATCTTTCTCTTCAGAAGCGTCATCACCCTGAAGCATTTTAAGAATGGGGCAGCTTTCCAGAGTCCACATGGTTAGACTTTGAGAAATAAAAACGCACCATTTATATACAAGCCCTAGAATGGGCTTGTTTTACTGCTAATAAGACTAACAGCACAGAACAAGACAAGTGGGATTTTAAAAAGAAATGACCTGGGGGCGCCTGGGTAGCTCAGCCGGTTAAGCGTCCAACTCTTGGTTTCAGCTCAGGTCATGATGTCAGGTTTCTGGGATAGAGCCCCTCCTCATGGCAGGCTCCATGCTCAGCAGGGAGTCTGCTTCCCCTCTCTCCCTCTGCCCACCCCCTACCCCCTGCTCATATCTCTCTCTCTCTCTCTCTCAGATAAATAAATAAATATATATTTTTAAAAGAAAAGAAATTACCTAAGCACAAGAAATTAGCACAGAATTCTGGGCTTCTTGAAAACCCTTTCACTAAGTGGCAACTCTATGTTGCAGGTGCAGGTAGTGTCAGTGTCAGGGACCCTCGGGACCAAGCATGTCAGTGACCTAAATCACTCACGTGCCATGCATAAGATCCTGTACATTCTTCACATTCTACTCCACCCACTGGGCTAAAATGTTGCCGGAAGATTCCCGAGGCCCTGCTTCTATAGGGAAAGTTTGCCCTATCACATACTTTAGTAGACTTATTTAAGATTTCAAGTTCTGGCGGTGCCTGGGTGTCTCAATGGGTTGAGCGTCTGCCTTCAGCTCAGGTCATGATCCCGGGGTCCTGGGATTGAGCCCCACGTCCGGCTCCCAGCTCAGCAGGGAGTCTGCTCCTTCCTCGCCCTCTGCCCCTCCCCCCATTTGTGTTCTCTCTCACTTGCTCTGCTTTGCTTTCTCTCTCAAATAAATTACAAAAAAAGATTTCAAGTTCTGGGGGTGCCTGGCTGGCTCAGTTGGTAGAGCATGTGACTTTTGATCTTGAGATCATGAGTTTGAGCCCCATGTTGGGGGTGGGGTAGATTGTACTTAAAATGATAATTAACTGTAGAAAACTACAGTCATCAGGTTAAAACCTCATATTTTTTTAAAAAAAATTTAAATTCTGTTCATTAAGATGGTTTTTAGGAACTAACTAATGAGCTTCCCAAAATGTGTTCAGCTCTGTAGCCTCAGATTGGTAAATTCGCCAGACAATTCATAATTCAAAGGCACTGTCT